CAAAAGAACCTTTCCAACTTTACATTCACCGAGAATGTACCCTCTACTTCCTTTTTTTCTTTGAGGATACATTCCCTTCCTGCAGGGCTTTCAGTGAGAAGAATTCCAAGATGCCTTCAGTCACATGATTTAGGCATCCAAGTCCATGCTTCATTGCATTCTACTTCCTCTCACCGTTCCCTGCACATGCAAATCATGGGTTAGATTTAGGAACCTAAACTAGTTTGGGTCCCTTGTTATGAGAGAAAGGATGAATAAGGGCTTTCCTAGTCCATGCAGGAAACATCCGTTTCTTGCGAGTGGTACCTGGTCCCTTGTTGATAGTCACTTTATCAGTAAACACTTTGTTTTTCTGAACAGACTGAACCCTGGCCTGGCAATTTTCATTAAAGTGCCCATTGTTCCCACAGTGGGTACATAGCCAGTTATTAGGGATACTGACATACTTGCTGTGAGGGTTGTAAGGAGTTTTCTCCCTTTGAAACCCGATGCCCTGCCTGTTTCCACTGTTGTTGAGATACATGGCAGTGACAGCATCTGAGGACCAGGTCCACTTCAGAGACTTCTCAAGATCCATTCTCACTTTCTCCAATTCAGCTTGAAGTTGCTAATTCTTCTCGAGTTCACTACATAGACTGGTTTTTACAGCATTCAATTCCTTTTCAAGATTGATGTGTGTCTCACTAGCTACTCCCTTCCCTTTCCCAAGCATCACATTCCTATGTTCTCTATTGAGCCTTTCAATGATTTCCTCTAGATCGGTGCATATCACTAAAAGGTCATCTCTCTCTTGTTCAGTATTTGCAATTTTTTTCTTCTAAGGTGTGTTTCTCATTGTTAAGACCTTCTATTGTTTCTTTTAGATCAAGAACTACTACAATCAGGTCGTCTCTCTCATTTTCCACACTAGTTATTCTTTCATTCAAGGCCTCCTTTACTTTTTCAAGGTTAGCTATAGTCTCATCTCGGTCCACTACACAGACCACTAGATCATCTCTAGATTGCTCTGCCTCTCCTAGTTCTATGGTCAGGATCTCCTTATCATTTATAAGGCTATAATAGGCATCAATTAGGACATTAGATAAAGACCTTAGCTTCTTAGAAGAATAGGATTTCAGATTCTCTGAACATCCCGGAAGTTTACCTCATCGTCTTCATCTTCTTCATCATCATCATCTGACTGAGCCATCAGCGCGAACAGTGAGCCGTACTTTGTTGCTTCAGTTTGCACTGCCATCATGGAACTATTTTCTGCATCTGATTCCCTTTCAGATTCACTCGAGGAGTCTCCCCAAGCAGCAAGAGCCTGCTTAATAATATTGTCTGCAGCACCCTTTCGATTGAATCTTTTATCTGGAACCAGGTTCCTTTTTCCTGCTTTGTTAGGATTTTGCTTGTATTGCTCCTGTTTCGCGAGTGGGCAGTCTTTGATGAAATGCCCTGACTTTCCACATCTGTGACAGAGATCGTTGTTCCTTGTTTTACTTGAACTGCCCCACTTTGGTATACCACCATTTCTTCGAACCATCTTTTGAAATCTCTTAGTGATATAGGCCATGTCACTATCTTCATCACTTGAATCACTGCTTTCAGCCTTAAGCACCAGTTTCTTTTCCTTTTTGGGCTCTCTTCTTTTACTGTCTTTCTTTCTTTTCATCTCGTATGTCTTCAGATTACCAATCAACTCATCCATGGTCAGTGTCTGTAGATCTTTAGCTTCAGTGATGGCATTTACCTTACTTTCCCAAGACCCAGGTAGGACACTGAGGATTTTCCTTACAAGCTTGTTTTTGGGAATGACATCTCCAAGTGAATGAAGCTCATTTATTATGGAGGTGAATCTAGTGTGCATATCTTGTATAGATTCATCATCCTTCATCCTAAAGAGCTCATATTCTGTGGTGAGCATGTCAATCTTGGATTATTTGACCTGAGTGGTTCCTTCGTGAGCGGTTTGCAACGCCTCCCATATTTCTTTGGCAGTGTCACAAGCTGAGACTCTGTTGTACTCATCAGGTCCTATGCCACACATCAAGATTTTCTTGGCACGATAGTTCTTTTCTACAGCTTTTCTGTCAATGTCGTTGTACTCTTTTCTGCCTTTCGGCACCATTTGTCCTGTTTCTTCAATCTTCTTCATGGGAACATGTGGACCATCACAAATAATGTCCCACAGTTCTGAATCTTCTGCCATCATAAAATCATGCATGCGAGTCTTCCACCAGCCATAGTATTGACCATTGAATCTGGGAGGTCTATAGGTTGATTGTCCTTCTTCAAAGTTTGGTGGAGCAGCCATTGAGGATCCTTCCTAGGTGTTAGCCTGATAGGAGAAACCCGCTCTGATACCAATTGTTAACTTATATGAGTCCACCAAACTATAGAGTACCTGGTCCTCTATGAGATGATGCCTAGAATGCAGTAAAGACTGAAAGTAAAGAAGGCAAGAGATTTTCTACATGGAAAAATCCCACACAAGGGGATCAAAAAACCACGACCTACTCTTGTAGGCTTTTAACTCCACTAACTTGCAATCTGCCTATTACAAGCCACTTTGCAAAAACCCTATTGCAAAGACTTCAAACTAACTTGCGATGCAACCACCACAAGCCACTTTGCAACAACCCTATTGCAAAGACTTCAAACTAACTTGTGATGTAACCACCACATGCCACTCTATAAATATCCTAGTTACAAAGGCTTTAAACTTATGACTATCCCTAGTCACAACATAAACTCAGAAGTTTACGAATTTTGGTTTGTTCCTAAGACAACGCTTCTAAGAAAGCAAACTAGGAAATACAATGAAGAGCAAACAACAAGATTACAACTCAACTACGGATGTACATAAACTCATTAAGAAATTGATCCTTAGTGGAGTTGTCTTCTTGTTCTTGACACACCAGTGACTTCAATGCAGGATGAACGTTGTTATGCTTGAGAGAATATCACTGAATACACAAAGAGTGGTGTGTCTTGCACCAGGTTGTTTTATCACAAAGATAGCACAATGGGTAGTGATGTCAACTCTTGGTGTACGCTTCTTCCCAATGAGAAGTGACTACTGTACAGTCTGCACAACCACTTCTGGGCAGTTGCGTTCCAGCTGGATAGTGGACTTTGTACTTCTTGTCAGGACACACCAACAGACCAGGTCCTAGTTGTGTTCCTCTTCTATGACAGCTGCTAGATGGTCACTTTCTTCTGCTACGTTCCAGTTGTGTATTTGACTTGTACTTCTGTCAGAGAACCCCAAGGGAACAGGTCCCTGTTGTGTTTCTCTTTATATTGATTGCGTACAGTCACTGACTTGTGCTTGTGTCGGAGAACCCTAAAGGACCAGGTTACGAGGTCCCTGTTGTGTTCCTCCCTATGGTTGTTCATCCATTTGCTGATTTTCATACTTCAACAAAGTCACGTGAAGTGTATACCCTGTGGGCCAGGTTGCCAGGTTCTCTATCTGGTTCTTCACGACAAGTTTGTTAAATCATCAAAACATAAGACGCATAAGGCCAAGTCATTAAAAATCCATCAAGACTAAACATGCTTAAGTTATTTAGTTCATTTGCTAAAACTTCAGACTAAACATGCTTAAGTTATTTAGTTCATTTGCTAAAACTTCATGCCAAAACATGCTGAAGTTTTGTCCTGCAGTCTACAGTTTTGTCAATAGTCCTAAAGGGCAAAATCGTCTTTTTAAAATGCTTTTAACAAAAAAATGGATACGGATGCAAACGGAAAAACAAAACAGGATAAGTTAAAAGGGGGCGACCAAATAGGGCGCCCTGTGCAATTTTTACGATTGTAACAACTCGATTAGAACCCATAATTTTAAAAGTACAATAAATTCAGTGTTAAGAACTAAACCTATAGATCTTAAATCCTGGACCTTGTCTCCCATAATAACCAATTTGTCTAAGCTTTGGAAAGTTGACTAATCAAGTACTTAATCATTTTCAATCCTAATCACAATTAGAGATTTGTTACATGAAAATCTCCTTTTCAATATCTTAAAGGCTTTGTCGTGTCAGTATGATATCAACTCAAAAAAATTACAAAATTAAATACCCCGTTTGACACAATTAACCGTGTTGAAACTTTAAATATTGTTACTTGCAAGTTGGATATGATAATAAGATTACTCAAATAAATAAATAAATAAAAATTCTCTCAATTTTTATTATTACAGTTTATTTTATCTTGATGACCGTATATTAAATTGTAAAAACAGGTTCATCCATACTTATCACTAATCAAGAACATTGTCACTTTCAATCCTAATCACTATTTGTGGGCGTTTGGACATAAAAATTATGAAATTCCAGAAAAAAGTTAAAAAAAAAAAAATTCAAGTTGAAAATTAGAGTTGTGTTTGGATATGAATATAATTTGGAGTTATTTTTGATTTTTTGTGAGTGCTTTCAAGTGAAGATTTTGAAAAATAACCTTTTGGAGTTTTTCAAATTCCGAAAAAAATTCAAAATTTAACTTCAAATGAAATTTAAAACTTTCATTGCCAAAAATTGATTCCAAAAAAAAAGCGAAAAATAATTATTAAAAAAAAAAAGAAATCTTTTATGGCCGGAAGGGCCCTTAGAGATTTGATATTCTGTGAAAATCTCCTTTCCAATATTTTAAGGGCATTCCCATGTCAGTGTGACATCAACTCAAATTAACAAAATCAAATATCAATTGTCTGGACAATAAATTTTATATCACGAATCCACAAACATGACTAGCCCACTATATTATTATTCTCTTTTGTCAGCATCCCAAGGAAGGGAGCCTTGACGTAATTGGTAAAGTTATTGTCATGTGACCAGAAAGTCACAGGTTCGAGCTGTGAAAATAACCTCTTGCAGAAATGTAGAGTAAGACTGCGTACAATAGGCCCTTTTCGTTCGGTCCTTCTCCGGACCAGCGCATAGCGGTAGCTTAGTGCACCAGGCTGCCCCTTTTTTTTGGTCTGCATTCCAGTCTTTAATCTATATAAATTGGTCAAGTCTAAAGAGTAAGTGTCATTCAACAAAAAAACTAAGTGTGACATTCAACAAAAATTAGAATAAATTTCTAAGATGGTGGTGCCAATAGTAGGAGAGCATGAGACTGAAATTCTACATGCTCAAACTCACATATGGAACCACATTTTCAGTTTCATAAACTCTATGTCACTCAAATCAGCCATTCAATTAAACATCCCAGATATAATCCACAAACATGGCAAACCAATGACTCTTGATCAATTAGCCAATGCCCTTTCAATCAACAAAGCCAAAACCACTCACCTACGACGTTTAATGCGAATATTAATCCATTCTGGATTCTTCGTCAAGTCCAGAATCCAAGAAAACGATGGGGAAAGCGAGGGCATAGACGAGGGTTATGCCCTCGCACCCCCTTCTCGTCTTTTATTAAAAGACGAGCCGTTAAGTGTGACACCTTTTTTACTAGCCATGTTAGATCCAATTTTAGTGAAACCTTGGCATCATGTTAGTGAATGGTTTGAAAATGATCATCCTACACCATTTGACACTGCTCATGGTAGAACATTTTGGGATTATGCTGGACATGAACCTAGGCTTAATCATTTTTTTAATGATGCTATGGCTAGTGATGCAAAGTTGGTAATGAATGTGGTTATAAAATATTCTAAGGATGTTTTTGAAGGGTTAAATTCTATTGTAGATGTAGGTGGTGGAACTGGAACTGTAGCTAAATCTATTGCTAATGCATTTCCTGATTTGCAATGTACTGTCTTTGATCTTCCTCATGTGGTTGAAGGGCTTGAGGGGAATAAGAATTTGAATTATGTTGGAGGAGACTTCTTTGTGTCCATTCCCCCTGCTGATGCTCTTCTTCTCAAGGTAATTTTTCATAAAAAATTTACAATATATGCATTGATAATTACAAGTTTTTTACATTATTAACATAGTTTAACCAATAATAGAATGTTAATTATCATTTTGACTAAGATGTTGGTTAATTTTTAACATAGAGGTTTATATGTAATTGCTTACAAGTGACCTGATTATGTATATATTCTTACATCTTCACCGGTGTTGAATACCAGAATTAGTATGTAAAAGATATTTATACAATCAGATTATTATAAATTAAAATAATTACAGGTCAATAGTACCATAACCTAGTAAAATGATACTAAGTTACTTACTATTACATGTTAAACTATACCAATAATGTACAAAAGTCTTTTACACCAACGTGTTAGTCTATCTCATGCAGATCAATCATCGAAAATAGAACAAAATAAAGAATGAGTTAGGATATATATATATATATATATATATATATATCAGTCATTAGAAATAGAACAGAAGAAAAAATGAGATCGTCTATATATCATGCGTCATTCTCACCCAAAAAAATGTATTAATCATATATTTACTCAGTGATTTAAAAATAGGTCAATCCTCTACATAATATTGCACGACTAATGGGATTATTTTTCCTTTAACGATTGGATTATTTTTTGTCTCTTATGTTTCAGTTATCTTATTATCATGTTGTTATTATTGTTTTTCTTTATGGCTTCCTCGTTATTATATTTATTTTTAATTATATTTTTGTTATGTTTTCCTGAGCCAAGAGTCTATCGGAAACAACATCTCTACCTCCACAAGGTAGAGATAAGATATGCATACACACTATCCTTTCCAGACGACTTCACTTATGGAATTACACTGTATTTATCGTTGTTGGGATTATTTTTCCTTTAACTCTATTGGCATATGATTTAATTATACAGTGGATATTGCACGATTGGAGCGATGAAGAAAGTGTGAAAATATTGAAGAAATGCAAAGAAGCAATACCAAGCAGAGAAAAAGGTGGAAAAGTGATAATTATTGATATGATGGTTGATAATAAGATAGGAGATGATGAATCAATTGAAACTCAGATTTTCTTTGATATGTTAATGATGGTTTTAGTCACTGGAAGAGAAAGATCTGAAAAAGGTTGGGCAAAGCTTTTTTCAGATGCTGGTTTTAGTGATTATAAAGTTACTCCTATTCTTGGATTAAGGTCTCTAATTGAGGTTTATCCTTAATTAATTTCAACTTCCAAAAAAGAAAAATAAATAATTTCCAAGTGTGGAAGGGGATCCTTGGAGCAATGTCAAAGTTGTTTCCGTGTCACCTATAGGTCATGTATTTGAGCAGTGAAAGCAACCCTTGGGGTGCGGCCGTCTCTCGGGCCCTGCTTGAATGCGTAATGTTTTGTGTACCGAGCTACCCTTTAAATAATTCCTCAGTGTGCTATTATTTTGCGAATTAGCTTGATGTACTTTTTTTTTAAAATTCTTTTGTTGTAATGAAAATTGCATTATTATTTGAGGGATGAATGTTGATTTCTTTCAAAAATTTTCACATATATTGCTTACTTTATTCTGTAGATCCAAAAAAGTACTTTCACATACTAATACATTAAGTTAACTTCTAACAAAAAAATAAGAGTAAAATGAATTGTGTATTAACCAATAGATCAACCATTAGTAAATCTACGACGCCCTTATAAAAGGAAAAAAATGAAAAAGAACTTATTATGAGACAGGGACAGTTTATTTAACTAGATGTTGAATAAGAAGTACAACTTCAATAGTATTTTTTATCTTGATATTTTTGTTTTCTTCTTTGACAAATATTTATGATGCATACGCGATAATAGGGCCTAAAGTCCATTTTTAGTCCGTGTCGAAAGTTATGAGTTCAACCCAACGGTAGAACACTACATCCGCCTCTGGTTGCAGTCGGCCTGCAATATTAGTACTATATAGTAGTGGCAAAATGGATTAAAAAATAATTATTTATCTATGTTATCCATTAAAAATGCGTTGGATAATGAACTTTTTAAAAATGAGTCAATTATAGGTAATATATTATCCACTAAAAAAATAGATACTTAGGGGTCGATTGGTAGGGTGTATAAGAATAGTGCGGAATAAGGTGTATTAGTAATGCAAGGATTAGTAATATATGGGTTAGTAATGCATGGGTTAGTAATGCAAGCATTAGTTATGCAGATATTATTTCTTATCTATTGTTTGGTGTGATGTATTAAAAATTGTAATGCATTGCATAATTTTAAGAAAAATAGTTATTTACAAAAATGCCCTACATATTCTCTAGTTTTAAGGGACTTTAAGGATAATTTTGTCTTTAACCATACTAATGCATGCATTAATAGCCATGGTATTACTTATGTCATGGTTTTGTATGCATTACTTATACACAGGATAATACCAAGTATGACGTATAACTAATACAAGCATTAGTTATACACATGTTGAAAAAATGTACCAAACAAGATATTAGTAATGCACAGAGATAATGCTTGCATTATTTTTTCTAATACCTCCTACCAAACGACCCCTTAATGGATAACCAATGAGTTTAGCTTTTACATTTGCAAAGATTCAAATTGAGGATTAATCAAATTTGGAAGACTAAAAATTCTCCAAAAATCATCATATTCAAGAAGTCGTGGATAATATGGATAATTTTCTATTTATATTAAATATGGGTGGGTCGGATATTTTATCCGTTTTGCATTATTCATTTTTTACCCGCCCATATTCGACATGACCCGCCCGTTTGTCATCCCTAATACTATGTTATCCGAGTGAAGTGGATTTTGTATTCATCTCAAATTTCAATAACTAAACCATTTATATATCATGAAATTGAAGCACTAAAGAAAATAATGAAAGGAAAATAGATATAAGTATAGGATTTTTTAAAATATCCATCCATTAATCCATATATAATTGGAAAAAACAATGATTAAATAATGTTTATATGATAAAAGGGTCATATCCAGCTTAGCTAATCATAGTTGACAAAAGGTTTAACAAGATTCGACAAATCTTTTATATCAGTTTTATAATAAAATGGATCTTAGCTTACACCAACCATATCGGATTACATTCAATATCAAAAATTATTTTGAAAGATTGATATCTGATTAGGAGAGTGAGACAAGATCAATTATTCTAATTGAATATCATTTGTACTCTAATTAAATGAAAGAAAAAATATTAAAAAAATTGCTTCCGGAGTGTGAGATAGATAGACGAGTAGTACGTAGCTGAACAATTATTGAATTTTTCAACAATGATAGCAAAACTAATCATATAGACCATTCCATATTTGGAGCTGACATTTAAATGGGAAACCGACATTGGGTTCTGATTATCTTTTTCTCCAAATCGTGAAGTTACTTACGAAGACAAGTGCAAATGAATAACTTTTGTGAAATATATGGATTACAGTTTACTACGTAAACACTAAGCATGCAATTTGTTTTTGTCACGACCCCGGTTCGCCCTCCGTGAATCATCGTGACGGCACCTAGTCTCTACGACTAGGTAAGCCTAAATTGCGTAAGAAAACCAAAATTTGCGGAAGTAAAACAATTTAAAACAGAAATAAAGGAATAAACAGCGTTTAAATGTGCCGCTCGACATACACCATATTTAATTCTCAAACCAACATATAAATTCAAGACCCGAAAACCTATGAATCACAAGCTAAGAAATACTACATAGCTCTATGATAATAGGTGAATTTGACTATAATCACACCTTAAATAATCACCTTCTTGTATAGTTTTAGTGCTAAAAGTGATAACAAAATGCTCTTATTAGTGCTTTTCATGATTTGCAGGTGATATATGTATAAGGAAGGCTAAGGAGCAGTTTTGGAGTCAAAATTGAAGAAAAAGAGGCCAACTGTGAAATTCCCCAAGTAAACCACGCAAAACAGGCCTGAAGATTCAGAGGACTAGGTTGACCGCGGTTCCACCGCGCGCGGTGGAAGATAGCTGCGGATAAATTCAGATTCAGAGAAGGCTTTTGGCCGCGGTTTGACCGCGACCGCGGCAGAACCGCGGCGGAAGCAGAAAACTTCAGGGACTAAAGTGTAAAACACGGGATTTTTAGACCTAAACCCTATTTAAAACATTAGACTTCGCCCAAGAGAGGCATGTATTGATTTGTAAGGTTTCTTAGCAAGAAAAACCATTGTGAGAGAATACTCCAAACATCTTTCTTCTTTACTTTTGATTTTTATGATGAATTCTATCTTAGTTTATTTTCCCATAGCCATGAGTAGCTAAATTCCTTGTCTAAGGTTTTGATGGAACCTATTGGGTGATGAACTTCTTGTTTATGTGAATACAAATTGCGTGTTTAATCTCTATTTGTTCAACTTCGTGTTTGTTGTAGTTAATTGACAGGATCCTCAATTAGCTGTGCCTATTTAATGTGCATAACTTGGAAAATAGTGCATATTTAGGGTATTGTTGAACAACACCACTCCTAGATTATTAGAGGAATCTATAATTGCGGGTTTAAAGGCGGGATTTGGGATAACGAAGCCTTGGGTGTAATCTAAAGTGAATCGTGCTAAATAAAGTAAGCTAGTGTATCTCGGGAGAGTGCAATAGTAAATTACTGTGATTACTCAGGAGAGATTTACGGTAAGATTAGCGTTCATGATTGATAGAGAGGTGTTGATAAATTTGTATGAGCATAAACAGAAGGGATTCCATCAATAGGGGAAATCATTGCCTTAGCTTTTTATCATAATTGTTTACAACCTTATTAGTTTAGTTTATAGCCATTTAGTTACTTGCAAGCATAGTTGTTAAAGAACATTCAACTGAGATTTGAATATTTGGGAAGCTGGTTCTGAAGAATTAGTGGGTCTGAAGATAGTGGTTGATAGGTTAACTCTCTGTGGATTCAACCCTGGGCGTAATACTCGGGTTATATTTGCAACGTCCACAGAGTCCTTTTTATAAGGCGTAGTTGGGCGTGATCACTCTAACTCCAGAATGTCTAACAAGAACTGAAATACATAAGGGCTAATACTAAACAGCAAGAATAAAAAGAGATTCCTCGGTCTGCGGACGCGGTAGATATACCTCGAAGTCGCTATAGCAGTCGCCTCACCTCAGGGGTGGTAGGACTGAGTCGAAGTACTTGGATCTGCACATGAAAAACATGCGCAGGAAAGGCATGAGTACACCACAGCGGTACTCAGTAAGTGCCAAGCCTAACCTCGGTTGGGTAGTTACGAGGAAGGTCGGGGCCCTACTGAGGTTAAATAGAACATAAAGTTTAACAATGCGAAATAAACAGTGTAAATAAGTCACAGAATATGAAGGACAGCAACAACTATTACAAAGGCAAGTACGACACAGAAAGAGACACAACTCAGCTCCAAGATAACAACCGGGGATCTCCCAAGATACCGTCCTGTAGTCCCCAAATATAAAATATCATATCCAGTGGATCTCCCGGGTGCAGTCCCATAGTCCAACTCATAAATGTGCATGGAAATCTCCCGGAATGCAATTCCGTAGTCCCAAAGTAAACATACAAGGGAGCTCCCGGGATACCGTCCCGTAGTCCCAAAGTAAACATACAGGGGAGCTCCCGGGATACCGTCCCGTAGTCCCAAAGTAAACATACAAGGGAGCTCCTGGGATACCGTCCCGTAGTCCCAAAGTAAACATAGAGAGGAGCTCCCGGGATATCGTCCCGTAGTCCCAAAGTAAATACGCAGCAACAACAAGAATTCAATCCAATCAATTGCATATCAAAGTGAAGCAGGTAATCCTAACCTAGCATGGTTCACGTAATACAATTAAGGCAGTTAAGGCGAATAGAGCAATTTAGTCAAGTAGACATGCTTCTCTAGGCTATAGCAGGTTTAATAGTACAAGTAATAAAAGCAGGAGAAGAAACATACTAATAAGTACTTAAAGAAAACCGGATTTCCAATAATTAGCACAAGTACGCGCTCGTCGCCTCACGTACGAGGCATTTCAATTACCAAAATATCAATCCTAAGGGGAAAAGGTCCCCCACACAAGGTTGGACAAGCCACTTACCTCGAACAAGTGCAAGTCAACCCGAAACCACGCCTTTGCCACGAGCATCCAACTCCAAATGGCCTAAATCTATTCAATTCAATTGCATATTGTAAATAACACCTCAAGTAACTGATTCTATAATTAAATTCTAAGCTAATACGCGAAATTAGGTAAAATGACCAAAATGCCCCTCAGTCCCACGTCTCGGAATCGGATAAAATTTACATTTTCAAAAACCTCGTACTCTCACGAGCCTAAACATAACAAGAACACTGAAATCGGAGTCCAAATGACCCCTCAAATCCTCATTTATTGGCCTCTTAAACTCAAGCCCTAATTACCATTTTCCCCAAATTTCTCATCACTAATTAGGTCTTTAATCACATAAAAACGAGTTATGAAGTCAAGGACGTTACGTCCAAGCGATTCCCCTTTGTTTTCTCAAAAAATCTCTCTCAAAAGCTTCAAACGCGGATGAAAATGG